TTAAAAAAAAAAAAAAAAAAAAAACCTTGGACCTCCTCTGTGCGTGGGACATCTCGAAAATGAAATTGCTTGCATAAAAATTTATGAGCTTAGAGCCTCGTTAGACCCTCCTTGAAAAATCCTCAGGAATTAGGACGAAGTCCTTGGAAAATTTCAAGGAATTCGGTGGCGGCGTTACACCGCATCCTAAACGAAAGGGTCCCAAGGAAAAACCTTGGAGGTATCCCGCGGCCAATTTCATACGCATATACGAGGCCGCGGGGGAGGATGTCCGTCGTTGTCAAGGGATGTCCGTCCGTCATCAGGCGTGGTCCACTGGCGGCGCAAGGAGGCCTGCGATGCTGCGCTGCGAAAAGAGGCGCGAAGGTTCCTTTTCGAAATTTGAATTTCAAACCGTCATTATATACGCACGGGCGCGCCGTGGTGTTACCACCCCTGGAGCTACCAGTGTGCGAAACGTGTGCGCAGACGATTTGCGGCGCCCATCGCTGTTGGCGACTCGTTCATCCGATCGTCAGTCGGCGCGGCGCGAAAGGTGATGACGTTGGAGCGCGTGAAGTGGTGCGCGTCCCACTTTCCTCTTCCTGCAGATGACGACGATTCGGTGGCTCGCCGTAGCTTCGCGCGCCCGTGATTCGTGTACGAGGAGCTGCCCTCGACCACTCCAACGTCCGTTGGGACAGTGTGCGACGAGGGTCCAGTCGTTCGTCTGTTGTGCGTGTTCAACAAGGCGCCGTCGGAGCATCGTGATGGAACACATGTCGCAGGAGGTTCGTGGCAAGACCTTGAGCAGGGTGGAGAGAAATGTGGTGGTTGCAGCAGTGTCGGCGGTGGCCATGCGATGTTGCATCGAGAGAACGATGACGGGGTTGAGGACGAGAGTGTCTGTTCGCAGGCAGCGTGAGCTCCTCTAGCACGTGATGGTGGCGCCAGACTAGTGTCCATGTCCGAATCCATTATCCAGTTGTGCGCCGCCATGTCATCTGGGGTGATACCGCGGGCGACTCCAAGGTGGTGGATGAGGAGAAGGACAGGTGGCACGTGGGAGGATCTGCGGAAGATGGACGACGCCTCAGACGAGTACTATAAGGAAAAGTTGAGGATGTCCCCCAGGGTGTTCATGGAGATCATGAAGGCGTTGTCCCCTCTTCTGCAGCGGCGGGTGACATTCTACAAGGTTCCTTTGCAGCGGGATCACATCATCGCATATGCGTTGTACAAATGGGCGAGCGGGGAGACGTACGAGAGCAGCACGTCGTCATTCGGAATAGGGCACGCATCCGGGTTGATCGCAGTGGAGGACGTTACACGGGCGCTCCTGACGGTGTACAGTGACAAGATCGTTTGGCCTACTGGGATGCGTCGTACGCTTGTTCTGCGTGCCTTCGAGGCAAAGGGCTTTCCCAACTGCTATGGCTGCATAGACTGCACGCACGTTTACGTCGACAAACCGGCGAACGCTCCTTCGGAGTCCTTCGGAGAACTACTTCGACCGGAAGCATCGTTTCTCCGTTGTAGCGCAGGTGGTGGTGGACCAGGACTTGCGCATCACGGACGTTTTCGTCGGTTACCCAGGGAGCTGCCATGACATTCGGGTGCTTCAACTCTCCAGTCTGTGGGCGCGTGCAGAGGAGGGGGATCTTTTCCGTGGAGCTCCTGTTGTGCTGCCGTTCGGAGTGAGGACACACGGTTACATTCTGGGCGACAACGGGTATCTTTCGTTGAAGTGGATTGTCGTGCTGTACGGGGGGACCGATCGAATCCCCGACGAGGGGAGGTTCGACAACAAGCAAAAGGTCGCCAGGGGAGCAGTGGAGAGAGCTTTCGGGAGATTGAAAGGGATGTGGAGGTTGTTCCTTCGCACACACAAGACTAATATGGACACTATCCCACAACAGTTCCAGGTCGTGTGCATTCTGCACAACATCCTCCTTGACGCTGACATTGATATCGACGAGAACTTGCTGTGGGAGGTGGATTCTAATGGCATGCGGCGGCGAGTGGACTTGGGGTTGGATCATCCACCCCACCCCATTGCTGAGAACTTCAATCGGCCCCGTACATTGGTGCTACACGAGGCGTTGGCGGAGCAGATGAAACACACGTGAAGGCGCGCACCGCTTCGACGGCACGTGGCTCTGTCGTCCTTGTGGAGGTCGTGTTGGGATCATCATCCAACGAAGGCGTTCTGTGTTCTGTCGTTGTCGCAGGCGTGTGTCGTGCCCTGGGGTGTTGTGTACGTTCACTGCGGGTTGTCATTGATCGCTAATGTCGCGGAGCCGTCGGCGGAGACGTTGTTCATCCGCAGTTCTTTTCCTTTTTTTTTGTTAACCATTTTGTAGTAGGTTGTTAACCCGGTGATGCAGTTTGTTGTGAGTGAGTGTGCGCAGCTGCGCGATTTCGATTTCGAAGAAGACGGTGTCTGTCGGTGGGGTGATCTGTCCGGAGGTGACTCGTTATTGTTCTCCTTTTTTCAAATGTGTACTGTAGACCGAAGTTCCAGCTGCGTGTGTGCAGCTATCGGTGCTCTGTGACGATGGTGTGGTTTCGTGTATGTGATTGCAATCCAAATGCCTTTTTTTTCTCTTTCGTTTTTTTTCGTTTTATTGCCTTTTATTTTTTGTTTTTTATTTTGCGTGTTGCGATTTGTATGTTAGGGGCGACGTGTGCGCCTTTCATTGATCTGTTGCCTCCTCAGCAGGACTGAAGCGTGAATGCGTTTTTTGCGCAGTTTTCAGTGCGCTTTCATCAACACACCGGAACCCAGTCCACCACCAATGCCCGACTTCGCGGAGCATCACACCCTAACTTGGACAAGTCTGGCGGCCAACCAATCAACCGATCATTGGATCAGTTCATCGGCTTGCCGACAAAGCTGTCCGTACTGAGGTGCACTGATCAAACTTGTCATCACATTGGCAACCGACGACCGTTCCAAACAATCAACCAATCAGCACGAAGAAAATGACATTCACACCAAACAGGAGAAAGTGTGATTTGAGGAAACGCATCGTCATATTCCAACGGGACAGAGCGTTTCATTGCTGGACTCCGTCCAAGTAACACACTCGCAGATGATCATACTTGCCATCACATTGTCAAACAACGACCGTTCCAAACAATAAACCATCAGCACGAAGAAAACGACATTCACACCAATCACGAGAAAGAGAGATTTGAGGAAACGCATTGTCATATTCCAACAGGACACACCGTTCCATTGCTAGACTCCGTCCAATAAACACACTCGCAAAACCCTATCGAAACAGGACTGTCGTTTTCAAAAAAGAGTAATAAAAGGCACCGCTCGTCATTCCTGGCGCAGACCAACCATCGCATTGACTTCACAAGGCACCTTCAAATACCCTACAAAGCCGACCTCTCTCGGAGGTCGGTTAATAGCTACCAAGCGTCGGCGGGAGATAAGACACACTGCGCGCGTGGGGGGGGGCGAAACGGGAACACAATCTACGAAGGGGCCCTCGCGTGGC